ACATAAGGGGGGATATATGATCTCCATGTATAATACATAAGGGGGGATATGATCTCCATGTATAATACATAATAAGGGGGGGGATATGATCTCCATGTATAATATAATAAGGGGGGATATGATCTCCATGTATAATACATAAGGGGGGGTATGATCTCCATGTATAATACATAAGGGGGGATATGATCTCCATGTATAATACATAAGGGGGGATATGATCTCCATGTATAATACATAAGGGGGGATATGATACCATAAGGGGGGGGGGATGATCTCCATGTATAATACATAAGGGGGGATATGATCTCCATGTATAATACATAAGGGGGGGATATGATCTCCATGTATAATACATAAGGGGGGGATATGATCTCCATGTATAATACATAAGGGGGGATATGATCTCCATGTATAATACATAAGGGGGGATATGATCTCCATGTATAATACATAAGGGGGGGGATGATCTCCATGTATAATACATAAGGGGGATATGATCTCCATGTATAATACATAAGGGGGGATATGATCTCCATGTATAATACATAAGGGGGGATATGATCTCCATGTATAATACATAAGGGGGGATATGATCATAAGGGGGATGTATATATACAATACATAAGGGGGGATATGATCTCCATGTATAATACATAAGGGGGGATATGATCTCCATGTATAATACATAAGGGGGGATATGATCTCCATGTATAATACATAAGGGGGGGATATGATCTCCATGTATAATACATAAGGGGATATGATCTCCATGTATAATACATAAGGGGGGATATGATCTCCATGTATAATACATAAGGGGGGATATGATCTCATGTATAATACATAAGGGGGGGATATGATCTCCATGTATAATACATAAGGGGGGATATGATCTCCATGTATAATACATAAGGGGGGATATGATCTCCATGTATAATACATAAGGGGGGATATGATCTCCATGTATAATACACATGTATAATACATAAGGGGGGATATGATCTCCATGTATAATACATAAGGGGGGATATGATCTCCATGTATAATACATAAGGGGGATATGATCTCCATGTATAATACATAAGGGGGGGATATGATCTCCATGTATAATACATAAGGGGGGATATGATCTCCATGTATAAATACATCAGTGGTTCATATAGTGAACTCGGTGTAGAGTTATTCCTCCTGAGGTCATCACAGAGGACAAGGGGGCACTCTTTACGTCTGGAGGAAAAGAGATTTAATCTCCATATACAGAAAATTTTCTTCACAGTAAGAGCTGTGAAAATGTGGAATAGACTCGCTCAAGAGTTGGTTGTGGCCAGCTCAGTGGATTGCTTTAAAAAAGTCCTGGATTCTTTCTTGGATACACAGAATATAACTGGATATAACATTTATAGGTAAAGTTGATCCAGGGAATATCCGATTGCCTCTCGGGGGATCAGGAAGGAATTTTTTTCCCTGCAGGAGCAAATTGGATCGTGCTTTGCTGGATTTTTTTGCCTTCCTCTGGATCAACTGTGGGTGTAGGATTATAACTTTTTTTTTTAATGAACTGGATGGACTTTTGTCTTTCATCAGATTAACTATGTAACCTCAAGCATATAACTGGATATGTGCACCCACTGCTGTACGAGTGCCAATAATAAACAAATAGTAAACAAGTAGCGATAAATAGTGTCCACACCAAATGAGAATGGTCAACTTGCTCGAAGAAATGTTGCAACAGTCCTTATTTTCCCAAAATCTCCACCACTGTAATGAAAAAAAAATGTATTCCAAGGATCTTGCAAAATGTGAATGGCATTTCTTATCATTAAAATTATATTTTTACTTCTCTTTGATATTTTTTGGAACATGTATGGCATTTGCCAAGAACATCTAAAGTAATCACGGAAAGAATTCCTGAGTGAAGAGACAGCAGGACATAGCCCGTGGGAAACCTGTTTTCTATAGAGTTTGACCTATATGAAAGTATGGGTCTTATTGGAAGGCCATTTCATATGTGTGGAGGAGCACAGTGTTCATTTTGCATTACAGTGGTGGAGTTTTTTGGAAAATAAGGATTGTTGCACCATTTCTTCAAGCAAGTTGACCATTCTCATTTGGAATGGACACCAGTTATCACTACTTCTTTACTTTTTTTTTTTATTATTGGCACTCATAGAGCAGTGGGTGGACATATCCGTTTACACACTATGCATGCATGTTATTGATGTGATAATTTTCTATGGTCTTGTATGCATATATGGATTGATTTATGTGGTAGCACTGAGGTTGTGGTATTAACATATCTAGCAACAGTATAGTTCACATTTGTAAGGTTGAGATTGCGCTACACCACGATTACACATATCTGCTACTGTGGAGTATCGCACAGAAAGGGGACAGCAGCATCCCAAAGGTTTCGAGTTCACATTACACAAGGTCTTCACAACGTATTAATTGATTCAGTTTTTGGGGCAGCTCACGGGTACGTTGTAGTTGACCAAAGACAGGCAGTCTTAGTGACAACCAAAATTTGAACATGTCCATTTGGGCACAGTGGATAGCTAAAAGGAGGAACTTCACTTGGCTTATAAAAAGTTAAAAAGTCAACAGCTACCAATACAGTAGCTGTTGGCTTTTAGGAAACAGCTATTTTCCAGTCTATGGAGTCCGGAGCTGTCTTCCATGCTTCGACCTTCTGGTGTCGCCATCTTGGATTGGAGGGACAGCTGTGACTCCCTAATGGATCCCCACTCAGCATGCAGGAGGCATGGCAGTGCAGACAGACTGGTCCTGAAAGTGGTGGGGGATGTGGGCAAGTGCACATCATCACTCTCGCTTAGGCAAGGATTGAAGAAGTGGTGGAGGGTGACCATCAAAAAAAAGAAAAAAAAAAAGACCAAAACCCACTCCCTGAAAATAGAGGTGGAAATGTGTTCAAAGCTGGGGAAGGGAGAAATTGAGCTGCACTTTTCTTTTTGAGTAAAGGTCCATTTTAAAGACCCAATACTGGGACAATCGGTCCAATTTCTGTCATAATGTGTTGGGAGAGCCCAGTTTGGCTGTATCAAATTGAATTTAAATAAAAAGGGAGGCTTAAGTGTAAGCAAACCTTAAATCTGTTTTTCAGTATGTTTGGCATCATGCCTCACTGTATTCAGTTTCCTTAAACAAAGTTTCCTACCTGTAGATCCTGCCAGTAAAAGCACTTCCTGCTGCTGGCGGACAACTCTAAGCCACTGCCTCATAAATAGCAGTTGCATTGTCAGCCTGCCGCTTGAGTGCCTTTCAGTATGCTTTGGGCTCCTTACAGAAAACAATGGTGGCAGAGAAAGACCAAAGCAGTCTACCAAGCCTGCCCCCCCCCTTTTTTTTTTTTTAATTTTGTGTAAACTTTTGCCCTGAGTATAGATCTGTGTTTGCCCCAAACATGTTTAAATCCACTTACTGCTACTCACCAACAGTTACCTATAGGGGACACGTGGCAGGCTGACACAACTGCTACTATTTGGGAGGCAGTGGCTTACAGTTGTCAGTTTGTAAAAAGAAATGCTATTAATGACCAGAGATCCAGACAAGAAATTTTGCAACAGATTGATAACAAAAATTGTGCTCAAGAATACTATATACAGTGAGGCATGATGCCAAACATACTGAAAAATAAATGTATGGCTTACATACACTTTAATCGTTAATTGCCATGGTGTCAGCGTTGGAGCAGGTTTACAGTAAAGGCTGATCTGGCAATAATCATGACGCTATTGTTCTGTGCTTCCAAAATGTCTATTTGTGGAGCCAAATCACGCAATTATACATTGTCTCCGAGTTCTTGCTATCTTGGCAGAACACAAAAGTCAGTTAATCCCACGTCCAGCACACGTGGCGATGCTTTCTCTGAAATATCTCCAAGCTTGGCTCTAAACATACGAGGCATTAAATGGTTGGTCACTCTGGGTTAATCACTCTCACTCTGTGATGACCCATTAGTCACATTCCAGAATCCAGATATTTTTCACTTTGATCTCTCGGCAAATGGTCCGTCTATAATCTCAGAAACTATTGGAGGTATCTTAGAACATTAGATGCTGATTGGTGAAATGCTCTTACATACTGGAACAAAGAATTTTCTCTCAACACTCTACTTTTTTTTTCCCCATGGGTGGACCTAATAAGGCATATACAGAGGTGGACTGACAACTCATGGGGCCCCTGGGCAATAGGGGATCATGGGGCCCCTGTGTCCTTACCCAAACTCAAAAAAGCCTATGAAAAAGGTACCAGGGGCATCTCATGGGGCCCCCTACTGACCTTGGGCAGTGCCAGAGTTTCCAAATGGTCAGTCCGCCCCTGGGCATACATCTCATCGAGGTGGCAAGAAACCTGTATCATGTGTCGCTAGCCATACCATAGTTATCTTGTCTGCTTTGGGTCGGGTGTACACACAGTGAAGGTTCTATGAAGAAAAAAGAAATTTCCAGGTGGTCACTATTTGATAGGGGACTGTTGAGTGTAATCCTTCCATGGAGCAGATGGAACTGTCCACCTTTTCTGTTGTTTGAGAATTGATTGTCAAATCTCATCTGAAACTGTTACAATGGCTCTTCGGGCTTTTATTGGATAGGTTTTATTGTGGGTTTGGACTTGTTCTGGTTCAGAAAGGTAGTATTGATTCTTTTGATATTGGTGAGAGCAGCTATTTATGGGGATAACATGCTATCCAAAAAGGTTGATCATCATTCATGGTTACTATTTACCCACAGAGGACCTTGGGTGAAGTTTGACGTTCAGAAAAAAGTAGAGTGTAAAAAAGATGAATCAGTGAGTTGGTTGTGTGTTATCACAAGCCCTGAAGAAATGGTTTTACAAACAACCAACTAAAATACGTTTTGAGATACTAGACACAAATTGCAAAATACAAAAAAGTTTGAGTATCCAACAAAATACAAAATTAGTTTCCATCTGCCCTTTGTGTTTTTCAGATACTAGTCGCTGACTTAAAGAACAGCACCATGGAAAAATCACCAGAACATATCGCCCTCAGCGAGTACAGCATCGCAGACATATCTTCTTCTGAATCCAAGGACCTGGTCACCAGCAGGACTGAAAGCACCTTGTACAGTTCATCAAGAAGCGAGTCTTTGTGGAACACCGTACACCGAAGTGCCTGGGACACTTACCAAAAACCAATCATTATTATGTCCATTGGGGGATCGGTCTTCCTTTTGGGGATCATAATGACCACAATGAACTTTGTCTATTCATATGCGCCAGTCTCCAAGAACTTTGGACCTGTGGCTCTCTCCATTGGACTGATGGTTTTAGTTGTTGGTTTGGTATGGGTGCCCATCATCAGGAAGAAAAGGAAACAAAGGTCAGCTTCACGGCTTTTCAACAATTCACGTCAGTTTTTCTTTCACTTTTGAGACTATTCAGAGGTCTGGCCACAGGAGTTGCCATCCGAAAATGTTCCGAAGCTACTTGCTTGGTGGACTCATCGAGTCTTGGATCTCATAACTGTAAGAATATTGCCAAGAAAGTAAATGGTCTTTAATGTTTTCACATGACATAATGGGACAGATGGGAAATGATGGTGAAAAGGAGCAATGTGCTTCCAGGCCACCATAACAAGAGATGGTCTTCACTAATAAGAGTAAAAGACTAATTTAGGTGTCGCCAATGCCAAATGAAGAAATGCATGATCACTCTTTGGTTTGCATAATCCCCATCTTGAAGGCATGGAGCTGGTGCTTTTCTAGCCATATGACTATCCTACAAGAAGTTAAAGCTGTTGAACCATCATGGCTTTTACCCATGAACTATTTCCCATAATTCCCTAAACATGGAAAGGCTTGTCTACAAGGACCGAAGGAAAATATGACTGACCTTATTTTTTTACCTGCATCCCTTGTCCTAGCTCAACTTATCTTCAGGAGTTTTGCTTTTCTTTTTATACTTTCTGGAAAACCTTCCCACCCAATGATGCGGTCCTATACGTGGGTGTGGCCTGTTCTCTAAGCAGACAGTGACAGATGGATCGGGCAGAACCTCTGGAAACTTGCATGACAAGTTATAATTTAAATTAATTTTATGCACAACGATTTGCAAAGGAAATGATACTATATCTGCTAAAAGAGAATATATACCTGTATAGGAATTCAAGTATTTTTTTTACTATCAAAACTTTTAACATGCTTTTTTCTTAATTCTGTACTGATGTAAGTTCCGCAGTGGATGAAATGTTACAAAATATACTTTATTGTAATCGTGAATATTCAAAAGTGTGTCTTTTTAAAAAAATAAACCTTATTAAGCGTGGATTGGGGGAGCTATTCGACACCAATCTGGAGATAGATTTTATTGCCATAACGTAAAAGGCATTGTACACTTTCAAATATTTTTGGTTGTTTTAACTAGGCATTCATTTAGTTAAATTCCCTATGTCGTCTGATTGTGTAATGATGGGCTCACATGTTGTGACCGCAGTTTGTAGTTTCAAGGCCGATTGATTCTGCTATGTCTATGTATTCATTCACCTTGCTTGTCCCTATATGCTAAAGGGAGAGACAACGTCTTATTCTGGGTCGCACAGCATCCAATTCATGCCTCACCATTTCCTCTGTGTTGCATCAAAATTGTGGGAGCGCTAATGTGATGAAAGCGCTGCACCTATTTTATCTTCTATGTCGTTTGAAAGGTTTATGGTTTCCTTTACTGTGCACAGCTGCTTTTATATTTTTATATTTTAGCCGAGTTCTCTTATCTTTTTATGATGAAATTGTGATCTCGCTGTTATTTGCTTTGCCTGTCTGTGTTTGTGTAAAATCTAATTGCTGTCTAGCTCTCACCTGCAGATCACTAGACTGACAAACCAGGAGACTGTGGGATATATAGTTTCCTCACAGGAACTATTGCAATACGAAAATTTGGATTCATCCGAAACTCCAAATAACAAAAAATTAGTCCGAATTTCGATATGGAATGAAATTAACCATACATGTCTATTATCCAGTGCTGTTGTGGATGTCCAAGGCAAAAGACACCAGCAAATTGTAGCTGCCTAGGTACACATCGAGCAAAAAATGGAAACTGAAGCACCACACCACTGCCAAGAGGTCCAGACACAACTTTTTACAGTAAAAGTCAGGGGAACAATCCAAATAGGCAGCCAATAGGTGTTTCAAGGGTCCAAGCAAACCCCCTTCATCAGAGCTAGAAAGAAAAAAAAAAACATTAAAAAAGGACAACTCCATATCAATCTGTTATCAATGCAATATCCTCCTCTGGGTCATATTTAAAACCAAATACCTAATAGGTACGCATTGAAGTCAGCTCCAAGAGCATCTCCAGCTATAAATTTGCACAGCAAACAAGCCGAGAGGTCATAGTTGCCACATATCTCTGCTACAGGGTTACAAGCAGGGGCGGACTGACAACTCAAGGGGCCCCCGGGCAATAGGGGATCATGGGGCCCCTGTGTCCTTGCCCAAACTCAAAAAAGCCTATGAAAAAAGGTACCAGGGGCCCTGGGTCAGTGCCCGAGTTTCCAAATGGTCAGTCTGCTCCTGGTAACAAGTATCACATAACACTAACATCAGGCACCATCAGATGCCCAATCAGGGGCTGACTGACAACCCATGGGGCCCCCGGGCAATAGGGGAACATGGGGCCCCTGTGTCCTTGCCCACACTCAAAGCTCACCCAAAAAAGCCTATAAAAAGTACCAGGGGAATTTCATGGGGCCCCCTACTGACCCTGGGCCCTCGGGCAGTGCCCAAGTGCTCGAATGGTCAGTCCACCCCTGTGCCCAATGTTAACTTTATCAGCCAATAGTCTCTGCTGTGCTCCCCATTGATATTGGTTTCACTTTGCTACTAAGGCCTTGACTTTTTAACTTCAGGGTTGTCCCCGGAACTAAGCTTCTCCTACTGATGTACCCCTGTCCACTGAACTGCTTAGTGACCATTAGCAGTAATGGACCATGTAGGCTGGGGTGCTGGATTAGCCTTGAAGCCCAAACACTTACAGGTGTATTTATTCATAATTCACATAGCTATTCATTCATCAAAATTGCATATAAATTAAGTCTGTGCGAATGAGGCAAAATCAAAAAATTTTCTCAGCAGATGTTATTCATTTAAAATACCACATTATGGCCAGAGGTGGAGCTGAGGAGCACACCTATTTCCTATAATACTCAGCACCAACTAGTGGCCATAATGCAGTATTTTCCCCATTCACAATGTTTTTTTCTTTCCAATAAATAACATTTGATCTGAGAACGTTTGATTTTGCACCATTCTCGCAGGATTATTTTTCATGCATTTTATAGTAGATGAGCAGTCATGCAAAAATAGGTAAGTGCGCACTTCTTTTTTAATGTAAGGTAGGCAGGATAGGTAGGAGGAAGTGGGGGAGGGGCTTTTTAAGAATAGACTTGGGCTTTTCTTTCACTTTATCTCAGCATAGCAATTATTGAGCAGTTTGTCGACACATGAATTAGTAAGGGGAAAGCTGTCTAAATTAAACAAAACCCCTTCATAGACGGTAGTCACCAGAAGAGGTGCCCCCACTGTGATAATCACTTTGTAACTATAATTTGAATTGTCTCGTTTGATAAGTGACCAGCCTACCCAGTTCCCAGCTCCACCATTTTGAGGGGGTCTTTTTATGCCCGTTAGATTTTTTTCACAGTACAAAATATGCAGAATAGAAGTGGGGCTATATTTGCCATGGCACAGGGCACAAGGACAGCATTCTATTAGACCATTTCCAATCTACATTAGGTTTTTGGACAATGATGGGCAATTCTAGCTAAACCAAACTGAACAGCTAAAGAGAGAGTGGGGGGTGGGGTTTCTTAGGGGACTCACAAGATTCTCTGTAGCTCAAGTGACAGCCTATCATTTTTATTTCTGGCTGATCCCAGAAGGGCATTTCAGTTTTGATGTTTTTTTAATATGATCGGTAGGACCAAAGATGGAAACTTTACAACATTGTGACATCACTGCGATGTGCCTGGGGTATCTTATCCAACTCCGACTGATGAGGCGAGACTCTGCAGTGGGTGCCAGCTAGAGCTGGGAACTCGGTTGTACAAAATCTCACCAGTCCTCCAGAGATGCAATGCAGCTGTTCAAAAAGAAACCATTAGGACTAATGGTGATGAGAGAGTCATAAATCATTTTCTTGAGCCACAACTTTTCAGAATGCGTACTTTGGTGTATTCCTCAGAGTAAGAAGCTTCCAAGAGCTAATTGTTCTGAAAATCAACAACCCTATAGAAATGACACAATTGAGGCTTTTATTTCGGGACTATTCATTACCTGCTGCTTATCTAGGGTTTTTTTTTTAAGGCACAAGGCCCGTATGCAAGATCATAGGCTGTTCCTCAAGAAATTAAAAACATACTTCATCCACACTGGTTTTTGCAGTGCCACAACCAAATCCATAAATCTTTTGGATTTGGATGCAGCAGAGCTATGGGCATATACAAGTTGTAGTTCCATTGTGTCCCAGCCTAGCCTAGTGGTGAGGAACATGCCCTCCATGTGCACATTCATGTGGTTGGGGAGCAAGTGTACTCCTTAATTCATTCCTGCTTGGCACAGACTGCCCCCTTAGGCTGACTGAGGAGCTGTGGCTATGGGATCCTTCCCTGGCCACTATAAAAGACCACCAGTAGCCCGTTTCATACCTACCTCAGGCCTTACGGCAATAGACCCCAATTGCAGCCTCACCCAGCACAGGTTTTTCTTTCTAGACGACATTTGCTTTTTGGAGGTTAGTAGAAGGAAGGGGCAATCCAACAACAGCCTTTTAGTTCTTTTACAGGAATGCAATTGATTTGCATATTTACATTCATCCCAAATGACAAATTCAATTCCTTAGTTGCAAACAGATGTAGCATTAGAGCCAAATTTGAGGAACAGCCCTTTAGGGGTTTGGGGTTGGGAGTAGTCTCATTAGCCCAGCACCTCTCCTTCCTTGACTTTCTCTCTAAGGGGAAGCTCCCAGAAGGTAGAGCCTTGAAGATTACACTTCGCATGCCTTGGTCCTGGCACTGCTTCCCACGACCAACTCTGACAGGTGGTTTCCTGCCAGACTATTTATACCGCATCCTCTACCCAAGATGCCTCACACTGGCAGGGGCCAACCTGGCCCTTCCTTACCATCTGTGGTACACTCACTACTCTGTGGACCGCTAGTGGCTACCTAGGCCCTTACATTGCCTACTCTTCACAATAGGGTTCCCAATTCTAACTATAGAAACATCTAGTGGCCAATTGGTGGACTACACAGGGCACTCATGTGCCTCTACCCTACAGTTCCACCTGAACAAATGATGAACTCACACAGTGCAATGCAAAGATAGAATAAGGAAACACAAATTCCATATTATTGTCAACTCATTCAATGCTTTACC